TCACAGTGCATGCTGGTACACCTTTCTATTCAAAGGGAGAGATACATGATATATGTGCAAGCAAGTATTTTATTGAAATATGTTAACGGATAGCACTATTATAGTCACTGTGTTAGCATTTACAGGTTTTTGCTCATAGCATCCTTTGCACATGTTTCAAGGGACGCATTACACGCCTAGACTTGTATTCTTCATGCTAACGAGTTAGCAGAGAGGGGTGATGAATGGAGCTAGACCATGTGATGTACAGATAGGCGATTGGCCAATGAGCAAACTCTGGGAAGGAAAAAAAAATAGCTTGCTTGGCTGAAAGATTAAAACCGTTGCTAGGTAATGCTTGCTGCCTTTTCCAAACGTACAATGCAGTTTTAAAAAATGCATCCATTTAAAAAACAATCTCTCCACTGCAACAGGTTCAAATCAGACTCTTGTCTGTACTCTAGAAAACCAGACTAGCTGACAGCGCAGTGAATACAAACTAACAAATGGGTTGCCAGAAATAGAAGTAACTTTAGAAAAGATGTAGGTCTTTTATTACATTTGATTATATATAATGGGGAAAAGAAAAAAATGATATATCATTTTATGGCAAAACCTTTTTATTAATATTTTAATAAAAAATCTTCCTCAAACTTAGACACTATAGTCAACAAAACAACTTCAGCTTAATGAAGTTGTTTTTTTTGTGTATAGATCATGCCTCTGAAATTTACTGCTCAATTCATTACCATTAGGGAGTAAAATCACTTTTGTTTCTTTTTATGCAGCCCTAGCCACACCTCTCCTGGCAATGATTAAATGGACACTATAGTCACCAGTGCAACTACATGTATTCCTGACCCTATAGTGTTAACACCACCATCTAGCCACCCTGGGCCCCTCATGCCTCCATAAATATAGCAAAATCTTACTGTATTCAAACCTGAAGCTGTAACTCTGCATGCTGTTTGCCTAAAAATAGGATTGGCTGAGACTGACAAGGAGGCAGATCAGAGGCAGAGTCAGCATCTCCTCACAGAGATAAATTGAATCAATGAATCTCTGAGGAAAGTTCAGTGTCTGCATGCAGTGGGAGGAGATACTGAATCACAGGATGCTCGTGCACAGCAGATCTGAGTGGATGGAGGCATATTATGCCTCCATCAACTCAGAAGTCCCTCTGGTTCACTCTGAGTGACTGCAACTGTAGGTGTTCCTAGCTTTCAATGTAAACACTGTATTTTCTCAGAAAATACAGTGTTTACGTGAGGAAGGCTGCAGGGAGCTATAGTTCTCACCTGAACAACCTCATTAAGCTGAAGTTGTTCAGGTCACTATAGTGTCCCTTTAAAATAGCCTGCATGAAAACAAAAATGTTTCATTTTCAATCACATGCTAACTTACTTTAAAATTTTTTGTCTCCTGCTCTGTAATTTTAAATGTAATTACATACAGGAGGCTCCTGTAGGGTCTAGCAAGCTATTAACATAGCAGGAGATAAGAAATTCTAAATTAAACAGAATTTGCAATAAAAGAAATGTAAACATTAGATGACTCTTTACAGGAAGTGTTTAGGAATGCTGTGTAAGTCACATGCAGGAAGGTGTGACTAGGGCTGCATAAACAAAGTGATTTAACTCCTAAATTTCAGAGAACTTAGCAGACTGCAGGGGCATGATCTATACACCAAAACTCCTTCATTAAGCTAAAGATGATTTGGTGACTATAGTGTCCCTTTAAGCACAAACCATTTTCAAAGCCCCTTGCATGACCTCATTATCTGTCCAACTCTGGATGGCAATGATTGAGTGGTTTACTTGCACCTCCCCTTGTTTGAGCAGAATCTTTAACTCCCTCTGTTCCAGTGCGTCAAATTCGTCTTGTTACAAATATTTGTCTGTTTGTCCCCCATTGTACAGCGTTGCAGAGTTTGTCGTTTTATAAATAATAATATGTGGTTATTTAGCTCCATGGCTTTCACTCCATTGCACGTTATTTATTTATTTTTAAATGTACCCTTTTGGCAACCTATGACTGCCAGTGCTAAGAGGGGAAGCAGGGACCCCCGGGAGCTGTTTGATGTGCTCATTCCTCTCTGAAAACGGACCTAACCCTATAATATGTTTAATTTATAGCCACTCCACCAAGAACATAAAACAAACTGTTCTTGAATGCATGCCAAAATGTAATGACAGAAGTAACAACTTTACTACCAGATGGTAGGTTTCTGAGACAGATACAGAACATCAAAAACAGGCATTTGTTGGTATTTCAAGGATTTTAAAGATGCTGTAGGTAGTTTGGGGATTTAATTCTGCTATGTGGAATCTGGATCTTCTTATCATTACAGCTTGCTGTGATAGGCTGAATGCATCTGCTGACACTAGCCTCCTATTGCAACTACATTTTAGAAAATGTATGTACATTGACTCTCAATGGACAGCGGATGCTCTCAACCTGTCACTGCCTCCCACTGGTGCAGGAGAACATGCTTCCACATTAGCACGAGCACCAGAGAAAAGGCAAGTGTAATGGTTACCTGAGGACACATTCGAAAGTGATTTAAAGGACCACTATAGTGTCAGGAAAACATTCTCGTTTTCCTGGCACTATAGTGCCCCGAGGGTGCCCCCACCCTCAGGATCCTCCTCCTGCCGGGCTGGATGGAGAGGAAGGGGTTAAACCTACCTCTTTCTCCAGCGACGGGCAGGGAGCTCTCCTCCTCCTCCTCCTCTTCGTCTGAATGCGCATGCTTTCCTATGGACACTGGCGTCTTCAATGAGACAGCCATTAGAGGCTGGATTAACCCATTTATAAACATAGCAGTTTCTCTGAAACTGCTATGTTTATAGAAAAAAGGGTTAAACCTAGCTGGACCAGGCACCCAAACCACCTCATTAAGCTGAAGTGGTCTGGGTACCTATAGTGGTCCTTTAACACTAGCAGGTAAGACTGCACCAGAATACACCAAGCACCGAAACCACGTTGTTGAAATTTACCAATGTAAGTTGTTATGGTGCCTGGAGTATTCCTTTAAGATTTGTTTTTAAACTCATCACTAACTGCTATCGCTGGAATGGTGACAGTATTAAGCAAGGTAGAGCATAACACTGCTTTAGCCATCCAGTAAGAATGGGCTGGGCTTTGGGAGCCTGCGACTCTAATTCACTGTAAAACCATTTGGATCAATGAGTTAATGAGGCTGTGGTACTTAGAGTGCCCCTTTAACAATCGAACAAACTATCTAAGGAGAATTCTGACATGATTATTCACCAAACTCAGAATTATGGTGATTTTAAAATCAGAATGGCAACATTTTTAAGAGAAACTCTCCAACTCGCCTGAATTTCTAAATTGTCTCTTAGCCTTTGGGTTTGCAATTTGCAGTTTGGTGGTTTTAATAAATACCTGTCACTCCCATGTGCACATGGAATTAGAAATTCATCACAATTTACAAGGCATGTACCTGATCTGTGTTTTGTGATAGGACCTGTCTTATTTTCCCAAGACCGTACAGAGTTATCTCTGAAAGTGAGAATTGTGAAGAATGAAAGTGAATTTCAAATTAGCTGAATTGGAAAAAGTAATTAATGCTCAGCCTTAAATTTGAAATTCACTTTAATTTTCTCACAATATATCCCCAATATTGGGATGCCAGTAAGACTGGGATCGGGGGGCTGGCCAGTGACGCGATCACATCACCAGCTCTGTCCAAGACTGCGTAGCTGTCTGGATAGAATGTGAGTCTGCCCGAATTACTGATCAGATCAGCCAGACATTAATGACCACTAGATTGTCTGACAATCAAGCAGGCCAGGTCACTGAAGGCCGACTCTTCTAGGACCATTGTTCCAGTGATGCCCTCAGGGTCCTAGTGCCCAGAGTAAAGCATGAGCACATTTAATGGTGCGCTTGTGCTAAACTTTATGGGGACAGTTCCCTGAGTTCCCCAAAAGCGGGACACCATGGAAGAAAGTCAGGACAGGAGCTGAAAATCAGGAATGTCCCACTGAAACTGGGGCCATTTTGGGACATTCCACGTTATTTCTTTTGGGCTGCTGTGATAATGACATAAAGAAGTAATGTAAATAGACAAATGCCTAACCACCATTCAAGCACTTTGGCCATTGGGATGTAGGGTAAAAGGTAGGTTAATATCCCACTTAAAAAAAAAAAAAAAAAAAAAATTTTTTTTTAGGAATGTTGTTTTTGTATTTGCATAGTGTATAGTCACATTTCAGTTTGTTTCGTGTAGATTGCATAATGAATGGATAATTTACACATACAAAGGGTACTTATCATTCATGTGGTATTTTATTTGTAAACAGCATGTGGGTGGATTAAGAATTGTGTAGCTTGGGTGTGTTGTTATTTGACAGGTATGCTTGTCATATTCAGCATTGTCCTGTACAATTATGCAGAAGAGACAACATGGAACAATAACATCTGATGCATCTTGTGTGTAGACAGTCGATAAATTAGGAGGTATAATGTTTATTGAAGTGGTATTAATTAGATATTGTAATAATATAAATTAACTCTTTAAATTATTTATATATGACAAACATCTTTAAATTAATCAAACTGTTCAAAGGTTAATTTTCAGAGGAATCCCAGATTTTCCAAGGCCTGCTAGTGGTCAGTTGTAACATCACTTTATAAAAGACAGTCAGATTATCATTGCAATAATCTGTAACATAAAAGGTCTTAAAGGGATACTATAGGCATCAAAGCAACTTTAGCTAACTGAAGCAGGTTTGGTGTATAAATCATGCCACTGAAGTCTCACTGCTCAATTTTCTGCCATTTAGGAGTTAAATCACTTTTTTTGTTTCTTTTTGTGCAGCCCTAGCCACACCTCCCTTTAATGTAACTCACACAGCCTGCTTGAAAAATTGGTTTCATTTTAAACTAGATCTTGAACTTAGTTTTCAAGTTTTTACCTCCTGTTCTATAAACAAACTTTATCACACACAGGAGGGTCCTGTAGGGTCTAGAACAGGCTTCCCCAAACTCCGGCCCTCCAGATGTTGCTGAACTACAACTCCCATGATTCTCAGCCTATCTATTTCAATCATAAAAGCATGGGAGTTGTAGTTCAGCAACATCTGGAGGGCTAGAGTTTGGGGAAGCCTGCACTAAAAGGCTACTAAGAGAGCAGGAGATAATGTCTAGCTTAAACAGACTGTGCAATAAAGGAACCTAGAATAAGGTTTCATTGCCAATCAGATGTTAAGAGGCACCTGTTATGCCTAAAACAACTTACCAAAATAGCACAAATGATGAGGTCCCTTGCACTTGTTTATAGTGCAGATAAGCAGCTTTAATGAGCGTGGATGTGTCAACAATCTTACAAGCTCTTTTGTTGCATCTACAATATATTAGAGATTTGGGGTTTTTCTTAATATGTTTTAGAAAAATAACTCTCTTCTTTCTCATTGTTAATGACATCACTGTTCAAGTTTCACATGAATCACAGCTAATTTCTCAGACATATCTCAGCCCACATAGTGTGTCAGTGTGATATAACAAGTCTTTTTTTAGGTCGATCTCTGTCTAAAAGAGACTCCTGCAGTGTAGTCTTGACAACCATTCATAGTCCAATTTCAAAGCAACAACGAAAGCGAGGGATAGACATACAAAACGTTGGTTCTACTGGCTACACCATATCAATTCCGACGAGTTGGCGCACCAACTGACCGAAACCTAAACACCTGAGACGCTGCCGCCAACACCCGGAACACATGGCGGGCAGGGGCGATGTGCCTCTCTCAATGCCCAACTTGTGAGTGCGCTCTGTACTCCAGGCCCTCCTTGTGTGTGCGCCCTCTTTTCAATGCCCTCCTTGTGTGTGCGCCCTTTGTACACTCCCACTTTGTGACCCCCTCTACACCCTCCTTGTGGGAGCGCCCCACCCATCTCCATGTATACTTTGTGGTCTGCTTCCTTTTGTATCTCTTGACCAGTTGTGTATCTTTCACAGTTTCCCCATATCTGGTACTGTGGCCATCCTACCCCTGCGCTATCTGTTGCTTGACAGCCTTTAACAATTGCACCTGGACAGAGTGGGGACATAAATGCTGCTCTGACTCTATCACAATGATATTGTTCAGTGGTGTCTGCGGGTTGAGGGAAGGAGCTCGGTTGTTAGTCTGTGGCTGCATCTCTTCTCACTTCCACGTTCTCCACAATCTGGCATTGCTCCTTTAGCTGTGCCCAATTATCACACTAGGGGCTGACAATGCTTACATTAAGACTATTTTCTGCAGTTTTGTTACTATTTGATTACTCTTAAACAGGTAGGAATACTATAAAACTTGTCAGGGTTTTTCCAATTCTGAATTACTCTGTGTGTGTGTATGTTTGTATATATATCTTTATTTTTGTAAATATATGTTTATCAGGGAAATTGCTCAGATATTCAACTGTCTTGTCCAGTGAACAGTACAAACAGCGGAACAGAGCAGAACACACTGGTCCTGATTGCAGAAATTCACACCATATGTAGACACATAGGTCTCAACTTGAACAATCGTTTCCATACATGTTTTCACGACTTTCATCTTTACAAAAGTTATCTCCATTGGGTGTACACCAACCCATATGGTATTAGGCACCCACCCAACAGAGGGGGTAGGCAAAGGTCCCGTTGTAAACTGGTCAAAGATTTGAGTTAGTAGACCTGGCGTAGATGGGTTGTGTATTGGGTGCAGCGTGCCCCTGGTCCCGATGAGGGAGGGGTGCCTCCGTGTATATTTTATTATCCACTGGTAGGGACATGTTACCTGGTAAGAAGCCATGTGTAAAAAAGGAAATAATAGAAAATGGATTGTGATTAAAGTTACTATTGACCTTTTGTGAGTTGCTCATGGTTTGTACTAGAATTCATAGGAAAATTTTCATTAGTTACTGCAAAAGTGACAGACCGTTTTGCCAGATTCTAATACTTTGCACCTGTAAGCACTCAATCTTTTTACAATCCTTAGCCGATAAGGCTTTTAAGCTGTTGTCTAATAACTCTCCGAGAGAGAGGTCCTGTGGTGATAGATCAGGAATCCACGGGATGCGCTTAAGAAATCCCACGTGAGATGAACTTATTGCCCATCTAACACTTGGCAGGTTTGTCAGAGAATAAGAAGCTGTTTGAAAAAAAGCAGCCGTATAGGTTCAAAGTCCTTTGGATTTTAATTTGTGTATTTTATTTGCCTTTACATCTTAGCAAAAATAGACCATCATCACTGCTTGTTATATAAAGTGCAATTAATTGACTTCCTCAGTAATAATGACACTCTGTTCTTACATACTGTACATCTGCACAATTATACTGTAAGTCATGGCCCTGAAATAAACACACACATAAATTAGTGTTTCGTTTGCATTAATTAGTTTAGTAACACTTATTGACATCTCCACTTTAATTAAAGTGAAGTAGAACGAACATTTATTTATCCATACTTTTTGTTGGGTGGGGAAAGCAAGTCACTGAGAATTAGTTTGTGCACGTATAAGAGAATTCTGATTCTCAAAGGATAACTTGTTTCTGTGCAACTGAAGAATTACAATGTTTATCACAGAGACCAAATTCAGTGTTTTGATTGGACAATCATTCTAGATGATGTCATCTATAAAGTTGTTTCTCATTGGATGATAAGTAATCAATTTCTGCAAGCTAGAGTATTGGAGTCTTGTCTGTATGTTGAATTTAGAAGCCACACAACCTACCTACTTCACTGGCCACACTAGCTGTTAGAGATCCTTCCTGGGTCATGGCTGCCTAAAATGCATCCAAACATTCAGTATCTCCTCCCTCTGCATGCAGACACTGAACTTTCCTCATATTGATTTAATTCATCTCTATGAGGAGATGCTGATTGGCCAGGGCTGTGTCTGAATCATGCTGGCTCTGCCCCTTATATGCCTCTTTGTCAGTCTCAGCCAATCCTATGGGGAAGCATTGTGATTGGATCAGGCTACCACTTCTGATGATGTCAGCAGACAGCTTGTTTTTCTGAGGGAAACAGCATGCAGATCTACAGCTTCAGGCTTGAATACAGTAAGATTTTGCTATATTTATGGAGGCACAAGGGGCCCAGGGGGGCTAGATGGTGGTTTTAACACTATAGGGTTAGGAATACATGTTTGTGTTCCTGACCCTATAGTGATCCTTTAAGGAGCCTGCTAATTCTCAAGCTTTGCTTTAAAATGCCTAAAGTTATGCATACAGTACATTTTAACCTAAATGTAACTGACTTAATTTTTGTTTTCCACTGCCAGACTAATTCTTTTTACTCTTTTACTTTATGTTAATATTTTTTTCTAGAGCAGTGATGTCAAGCCTAATCTTGCAGGGCCATACTCCTGCCATGGATTCAGGACTTCTCGATCATGTAGTCAAACAATTAGCATTCTGTATTTTAGAACAATATAGAAAGTATCACCTTTTAAAATCAGGGTTTTGCAATCCTACAGAACTAGAGTACAGACTCTGCGCTAGTAAACAGGTCATCAATCTGTGTGATGTGAAATCTAAACTTCCCTTTCTGGATCCTCAGATTATAATAATTGGATTTTACATGACAGGTGTTTGCTTTCATCAATTTTTTTTTTTTTTCTTCAAGGTACTAGAAAAACAACTAGTTTTTCACTCTGGAAATAGTCATGTGAAAGTAGCTATGGCTTGTAACAAAAAGTGGAAAATATTTTTTTCAGTTGAACTTTTTAAAATATAATTAAAAATTGTCCTTATAGTAAAGGCTTTGCCCAAAATACAATCCAGGGTAACTTACCTATCCACGGTTCGCACTGCAGGCATTTGACTACTGAAGTTCTCAGCTTTGCCTCGATGCCCTTCTTTTACTGCTCAACCTCAAAACTCATGCAAGATCTCCCACTGAGGACTTAACTGATTACACAGAATTGCATGGCCAGTCCACATGGGCCGATGCTCTCTGAAGCTGGCTATAGGCACAGGCAGCAAAAGTAAAACTTAAGGAGCACTACTCCAGCGCCCTGTACAGCCTAATACCTGAGCCAGAGTCCTCTTCTCCATTACAGGAGGATAGCTTCAGGGACAGTTTAGACGCCATCAGCCTAACCTCCTTCTACAGTCTCTTTGAAGACTAGAGTTGGTGATGCACTCACCACTAAAAGCAATATACAAAACCTTCTCTCTACCATAAACAGCCTAATTAAGGCAGATCTCTCAGTGGTGAAGTCTGACATGTAGTGATCAATTGGGTCAAAGCAACCAGATCTTTGTCAAAGTAGGCTGTCAGTCCATGAAACGATTACCCAAACTCAATCCTAACAACAAGACATAGTTTGATATTTTGTATCTCCTTGGCTTGGATCGCAAGTTTAATGTTTTGGCTCCAGATATTACCAGTGCTCCGTAACTTTTCTAAATTTAAAAACTGGGTGATTCTCGGGTAAGAATATCGTAATACCTGAATGTAAAAAAGCACTTGCTAAATATGTTTCTTTTGTGTTGTCACACCCTGCATTAAAAAGTCCACTACTTTCCCATTCTGAAATGTAAAGCTTTTTTTCCTGCGATATTCCTGATCAGGTGACTGGGGAAAAAAAGACTATTTCAGTTAAGGAAATACAATTTGAAAAGGTCATGTCCTTGAATGTGTAAAAAAAAAAAAAAAAATATATTTGCACTAAAGCAGTTACTTTTGATATGTCATTCTTTATGCAAGTGGACATTTTGTTGATGATGGTAGTTTGCACTTGCAAATGTGCAAAATTGACAATTGCATCTCCAAATGCCAGAAAGTAGATAATGCTGGAAATTGAAAGTAAGGAATTCACCTTCATTTTGATGTTTATTTTTTTTACGCACTATATAGGTAATTTATACATAATTTTCACATTTGTGTTTGTTATGAAGTCAATGTTTGGGGTTTTTTTTTTTTTGGTGAATACAGTGAGCTCTCCATCACCTGAAATTTTTTTTACATTTTTTATTTTTTATTTTTTTATTATATATTCACTCCTGGCACTTTCATTATGTTCATTCAGGGGCCTTAGAAGAACCCATAAATACCTGCCAATGACACATACAATGTATTAATATTTTTTATCGCAGCAGATTTGAGCATCTTTGTAT